AGAGAGAGAGAGAGAGAGAGTCAGGACGAGGAAGAGACTGAGGGTCGGAGAGCTCAGAGAAGGGTTGTAACAAGAAGGAAGGGGAGGGGGCGATCGGGCCGCCGGTGTCTCTGCTTGGAATTTATAACCCAATGATATCATTTTGTACCCCGGCGAAGCCAAGCCACCCCCGGCACCGACCCTGGGCGAAGCGGAGCCACGGCAGAGTGGCTGACATCATGGTATATTGCTCCCAGTGATGCTCAAACACTTTCCACTTCGAGTGCTTACGTGCCGTCACGCCGATAAATCTCGGCAGCTTAAAAGATCTCGACGTTGTCTATATCTAGATGATGGTTAAAGACCGTCCGCTTCAAGCTTAAATGGATATAGCCCGGCAAAAAATATTTCTTTCGGGGTTGCAACCTCGAGCGCAAGACATCAGTCAAATGATAATCGTCTCATTGACAATATATGAGGCCAGAGTAGGCGATTGAAAGAGGAAGAGAGTATAATCTCTATGATGAACAATTTGCAATTAAATCACAATTAAATTACCGTGTATGGCGTCTTTTGGCGGGAAGATTGCGTCGCGATTTCGCCCACGGGACAAAAAAAGAATCGATCGAACGCAAGAGACGATCACAGCGGAAGCGTTAAAGAGTCGCGAGTGCGGTCTCCACGCAAATGGGGATTCCTCAATGGGACATTGGTATTTATTGCGTTCAATGTACGAGAAAGTCGTTAAAGAGAGCCGGCCGTGTTGGCAACCACCCTGTTAGAGAATTGTCGAGCGGCGTGGTGTGGGCCGCCACGGTGGTGCTGGTAGCTGGCGAGAAAGAGGAGGAGGAGGAGGAGGAGGAAGAGGAGGTGGAGGAAGAGCAGGAGGATGAGAAGAGAGAAGGGTGGAGGGTTGAAAAGAGGGATTCAGTGGAGGAGGCCAAGGAACAAGCGTACCAACCCGGAATAAATAAAATCCCCCGCGCCGCTGAATGGTAAGGGGCGCTATTCCCAGCCCTCTCGAGCCCCTCTTTTGCCACGGAACTATCGTCGAAGTCGAAGAGCCGTTGTACCCTGCCGACACGTTCGGCCCGATTCTCTTTGATCACTGTGAGATCGTGCGATAACTTCGTTCGCCGCGGCGAAGACTTGAGAAATTTAGCAGAAAAACGGCCTCGTCTCGGCTGCGAGTGGTATCGCTAAAATGAACGACGTCGCGTCAGTCAGTGCCTCTCCTTCGACCAAACAAGTCTTCATTAATCCAGTTTATGAGCGATACGACCACGTCGAGTGGCCAAGACGTTTCGCCGGGCCGTTCAAATAGCTAACATTTTTTTTAGATCGGGCTTAAGTCAATTGCCGTGCAGTCTTTACCGTATCTCACCTTAAACCATAAACCTTAAGCCATAAACGTGTAAGACAACGTTCCGTTCTACAAGGCGACCTTGAGCTTCGCTTTTATGATGCTCTCACGTTAAAAAATCTAATTCGTCAAGAGTGGGCGAAACGCGGAAGCGAGAAGTTGTCGCTCTCTTTGTCAGAAGAAGAGAGAAGATCGCATTGCACAACGTGGCATGTGCGTTTTCGCGAGAAGACAGGTCGCGAGACGGGCGTTTCAGATTTCATGGACAATCGAGATTTGATTTGTACGGCAGCCGGGAGAGTTCGTTCGCAATGACGGCAAAATTCACGAGAGGATATACCGCCGGCGTTCACCGTTCTTCCCCTTTCTACCCGGCGCCTCGTGTCTCATTGGTATGCTCGTTTCGGCGTTTGTGAGGGCGGGGGTGGCTCGCGGGGGGATTTGGAAAGAGTGGATGTGTTGGTACCTTCATTGGCGTCGCAGAGGGGCTCATGGAAGAGGGTGGCGCGAGAGATAGCTTAAACTTAGCATTCACAAACCAACGCGCCGCGGCAACCACGGAGGAGCAGGGGGAGTAGGAGGAGGTGGAAGAGAGCGCGAGAACGACAGACGAGGAAACTGAATGAGAGAGAGGTAAAACGGGATGAGAGAGGAGCGGGCCAATTCCGCTCTCTTTCTTTTCGTGTCTTTGCGCTTCGCGGCAGCCAACCAGACAAAAAGAAGAAACTGACGCGCGGCGTCGGTGGCGGTGGCGGTGGTGGTAGCGGGTGGAGAGAAGAGAACCTTGGTACTCGCGCTGGTGAGAAGAAGAGAAGAAGGGGGACAGGCACTCGAGCGAAATTCGTACGAGCAGAGTGGAGGGAAATAAGACCGAGGAACAAGGAGCGCGGAACGGAGCGTGGATCCTTCGTTTTCCCCGCATCCCATTGATTTACATCTTGTCTTGGCATAGGAAGGAAGGAAGGAAAGGAAGAAAAGACGGTGGGAAAAGAAGCCTGCGCGAGACGAGCGAGCGGTCGAGGAGGAGAGGGGGAGAGGGGTGGCCGCGCGATATCAGCCGTTTGTATGCGCGGCCGACGCCAAACTTTGCTGAATTGCCCTATGACTCCATATATCCCATTCTACCCGCCCTCCTGCACACACCCTCTTACGATTCCGCCCCGCCGCAGCTTCCCGGAGTCGTTATACCGATCTCGAAGAAAACTGACCCCATACCCCGCGCCAGTCGGGGAAGAACGCCGCGAAGCAGCGAGGGAAACAACACGCCTCACCGAGCATTCGAATTGGGACCCGCCACGAACGAGGGCGAATCACCCCGGAAGTCGATTTTGATTGGCGAGACGCCGAAAAAAAGAGAGAAAGAGAGGAGAGGGAGAGAGAGAGAGAGAGAGAGAGAGAGAGAGAGAGAGAGAGAGAGAGAAAGAGAGAGAGAGAGAATTCGGCCGCACGTGAATCGTATCAACCGTGAAAAATCGATGCGTTAAATAAATGAGGGAGTTAATGCGCGCAGAGCGGGCTTTTTTAATTATCGCCCGTTAATTAATTATTATATTTTCTGCGAGTGCTTTGTTGGCGAAGGCCGGCTGCAATTCCCGCCGGGAGAAGGCAGCAGTTAACTTGCAAAATTAAATAACGAAAAACTGTACCGCGACGGCAGTGATGGTGATGGTGGTAGTGATGATGACGGGCCGATTGGTGTTTACTGAGCGAATCGAATTATCGTGTAAATGCTCGTGCCAGTCTCATAATTAAATATGCAGACAACTCAATATCGACGTCTCGTCCCGCACGCGTTATCTCTTTAACGGCGTTGATTAATTAACGGTATTTATCGATCATACTTACTGTTGTACTCGCCGGGATCGCTGGGGTCCAAGCGTTTCGCCCTGCGACCGTGCTTGCTGTTATTATGGACAAACATGTTGTCCGAGACTGCCAGCAACGGCCCTTCCACACCCACTTGCGTGGAAATGACCACCTGTTAAACAAAGTAGACATCCGTCGATGTGAAGGATCGTCGCAAGATAGTGGAAACTATAATGCGAATGACTAATGCAAAATGCAAGATGACAGATCAATCAAAGCAACTTTATAATTGTCAGAACATTGGTGAAGAAGCGTAAACAACAACAGCAATCATCTGAACAACGAATAATTTTTTTCCATTGAATGCAGCACCTAAGGAAAAAGATGGTTGATCTAAACTAAAATTATAGTAAAGCTATAAAAGAATTGAAACTATAGCAAAACTAAAATTATAGTTATTTCTAACCCCAATCATATTTTGTTGGTTGTGTTAACACGAAAATGATAATAGCAGCATGCAAATACACACACATAAGGTTATTAACACTAACATTATAGTAGAATTTAGTTTATTTAAAAAAATTTCCTTGATCACATAATTTTGTAGTATATTATTTCTCTATGTGATTATAATTATAAATACCAAACATTTTTCTTTCAGCAAATGAAGTGAAATTTTAGTTGAAAATTTGATCTGATCTTTTCGACTGACCCGATACTAACTGAATGAGACCTCAGGTGTGCGTTTGCTATTTTGTAGAAGATGCGATCGTAGACGTAAAGGAGACCAGGTCCAGAGAACCTCAGGATAACCTTAGATAGGTGTTTTTTAAATATTTATCTCGAGAGTAACAGTGGATATAATATTCACTGGTCCGAATAATACTACAGTTAAAAAATAAAGAAAAATAATTTAGTAAAGTAAATTTTCCAGTCTTTCACGAAATTTTGTATTAATATTTTGATTGAAAATAAAATTAAGCGACACGTTACTAGCTAGAATGAAGTTTTTTGCAAGTATATGATATACTCTGTTTTAAATAATAAAAGCAATTTCTATTCATAAAATTATTGAAATCAAGCATATGGGCAGACGAAGTAAAATTGACCCATAATTAAAAGCTGACAGAAGCGCTGAGATTTCTCGTGGAGACTCTATTGTGTTTGTAAAGTCAGTCACAACAATTAATTGTCTGAGAAGTTGTAGCCTCAAAATTCTGAAATATGAGGCATCTAGTCTCGGTCTCCTCTATATATTCGTGATACGATATAAATTAAAATTCCCATTAAAAATTAAAACTCACAATTAGGAGCTGTCGAGACTCACTACACGCTACTTTATATTCAATTTAACAGAGCGTAGAAAGGTACACCGAGCACAGTAGACGCCGTCGTGAATCATATCGCATCTCTCTCTTTCATGACGCGTTATGTGCAGCGTTACAAGTTCATCATATCTCTCGTGAACGAGCATGCACAACTCGATTTGCCGCGCCGAGTAATGCAGCGTGCAATTCGTGACTCGCACGTATACACGGCGTCGTGGATGCCTGAACACTTACTAGATAGAAAGTTATACACAATTCCGAACCTTACACATAATAATTGAGATTGAAAATCGCACAAGTAGCTCTGATTACGACGGTAGAATTATAATGATGTTAATTATAACAATTTTAATCTTATTCGCATAAAGCTGAAAATTCTATAACTTTCGATCTGAGAAATGTTTGGGCATCCAAAACGTGTGTACGACGTATGATGCATAATCATAAAATCATATAAACATAATCGTGCGATATGTACAACAATATAATCCCATCGAAGCGAGCGATTACAGTTTTGCGCGGTCAATGAGAATGATCTACAATTATTCACGAGACATCCAATAAAAGTATACGGCTATTACTCGATGAAACTCTCAGTGCCGTTTCGCGAACGCTCCAAGGGCGCCGAAAAGATTTTCACAGTGAAGCGTGAAGAGCGTTTATAAAATCGAGCGAGCCGCCGGTAAATGCCCGAAAGTTTTGTCCTTCGCAACTTCGTAACTTTCTCGTATGCCGGTGATATTACTCGGCGAGTAACAACGCCGCCAACTTAGGGGCGGCAAAGCGACGATATAACGTCCGCCGTCTCCCCGAGACGGGGAAAAAGAATTTCGCGGGAGTCGTGCTAAAATTTTAATTCGCAAGTTTCGGACGGTAAGTAATTCCGGAAGCAAATTCGGAAGCGCGATGAGTATTCTAATTTCGGTCGGTCGCTCGAGGAGAGAAACGACCGTACAGGAAAGGGTCGAACGGTATGACGAAAGGGAGGGACAAAAGTCGAGACGGAGGGAAAGGAAAGTCACCGTGGTTATTGGTAATTTACTTTTTAATTCTGTCCTTTGTTTCGACAAGCGGAGGAGGCAGCGGCAAAGAACGAGAGATACGCCTGTCGGTAAGTAGAAGCGCTCGTTGCGGGGAATAAAGGACGAACGAAAATGCGGGGGTTGGTCGAATAATAATGCTGCGCCGGAAGCTAATTGCCGATCCCTCGCTTCGCGTCTCTCGGCAAGCTCGACTTTCGACGATACCCGAGTGTTGTACGAGCGAAATTTTCCACTTGATTTTTACGTACACTGAGAGAAAATCGAAATAAGTTTATTATCTGAAAAATCCAATAAAGTATATTGTGAATAAAATAAGAGCAGAATTTGCCTGATTATTTATTCAATTTCGGGAGGATTATAATGCTTTGCCAAACTAAAATCCTGCGACTGACTCTTACTGCCTACAATATACTTTAATTTTAATTGAATACTTTCAGAGCTATATTTCAAAAGTAACTATAATTTTAGTTAAATCAACCATTTTTTCTTTCAGTGACTAAAAGTTTCCGATTAAGTTGATCAAAAAGCTCGATCGGAATTAATATATCCGTTTGTTAATTTCTCATGGACTTTTTTCTCAGTGCACAGGCGAATATATTCATCTCGGTGGGCCAAGTGTGAGAATGCCGTGGTGTGTACACGCGAAAGTTGCGCGGCGAAGAAGGATGCTCGGTACGACGATACGCGTCGCGCGACATTGCGGCGGAGTTTCGGCGCTCTCGTCTCCGTCTGTCCGCCCCTATAATTTCGCGGATCGTGACTCGAATGACGGGGTTGTCTCTCTCGCGGAGTGCGCGTCTCGGCATCGCGGCACCACCTGAAATGTCTCGGGATCAAGTGGGCGGAAAGCTGGAAGTGGTTAACTGCGTCCCGGGCGATGCCGCGAATCACGCTGTGCGAATCAGACCGGACATTCGTCTGAGTGGCTTTATTTTTCTGTCTGATTGGACGAGAAATTAAGACTTCTGCTGAGAGTTTCTTCAAAATATTCACTTGAGATTTATCAGGCAGATCAATCTTGCAAATTTATACCCGCGGCAAATCGCAAACAAGCTGAACTTACCTGAAAGCGTCTCATGTCGCGTGGATTGCCCGCGTTTTTGAGGCAGTTCTGGTTGCATTTAAGAAAGAACTTGAGGAAGAATCTGAAAGCAAAGAGGGGGCTGGAGTTAAACGGTTGACAAGGTACTTAACGCTCTTCAACGCCGGCAACTTAATTAGAACACGGACTTGGTCGGAAAGCGAGGCTGAATATTGCATAAGCCAATCGCGAGCCCCGCTTCACTTGCCTCTATTATTCAGCATTTCTCTAGATTAAACCCCCGACCACGTGTTCCTCGACCTTTAGGCCCGTATGCGGCATTGTGTACAAAAATACGCGGTTACTTCGTCGTCTCGCGGAAATGTCAGAGAAGATTTCCCTAATTACGCGCGTGGCAAAAAAAGAGTATATCGCCGTTGCAACTATAAGTTTATACTTTCGTATTTTTGAGACAATTTGGAATATAATTAAGGGATTATTTATATATTGGAAATATTATTGCTGCAATTATTGGTTCCATATTTCGTTGCTGAAAACTGATAATTTTAACGTTTGTCACGCTGTTAATTAGTAGAAAAAATTACATATATTAACGGTAATGGAAATAAAGTTGGTTGAAAGTTACGATTGTAACTTTGACCACCTCTACGCGGAATCGTACAAAATACAATTTCGCGATACAAGGACACGTGCGTGCTCGAGGTTCTGCCAAAAAGCCGGCGGCTCAATTTTCATGAATTATGTAAGATGCTGGGGATATTGAATTTCAGAGAATTTTTTTGAAACGCGGGGTATCCCCTGCGTTGGTGGCGTGCAGAGAGATGGAAAGAAGAAGTCGACTGAGAGACGAGGAGGAGAGTTTGAAGATCAGGTAGCTTTACGCCAGACCGAAAAGGATCGAAAAAGCGAAGGAAACGCGTAGGAAACAATCAGAAGGGCCGAGACGACGTCGGCAAGAAGTAGGGGTAGTTTTCTGCGTGGCTGCTGGTAGGCTTTTCCTCCCATGGGACGCCATTGTCATTCCCCCTGAAGAGTGCGTCCATGGGAACCGAGAGACTCCATGGAAAAATCAAACGCACACCTCAGAGCAGGACCGTTTTGTCTGCACTTCGACGTTTTTCTTTTATTCTCTCTCTCTCTTTCTCTCTCTCATGCGCGCATACGAATAAATCGCCGAAATGGTGACAGAATCAACACACTTCTCTTGATAGACTAAGTGTTTCAATATAAATTAATTTTCACGTTACGTAAATTACATAGAACATTGTATGTGGCTAAAATATGAGAAAGAAAACGAGACATCGAACAATTTTTCAGAAAAAGAGTAGAAAAAGAAGACAAAGAGTTGAGTTGACCGTGAGAACCGTATAAACCATATAATAACGGCACCTTTTACTGTGGTATTCACTTAACTTGAAATCATATCAATCTTCTCTTCAACCGTAGGAAATACGGATACAGCAACCATACGGATAATTCTCTTCGTGCGTGAACGCATGGTTTTGAAAACGTGAGCTCGAACAATATATTTCTGCGCAGCCATGTGCACGACGATCGTCGAGAGTCCCTAACCCGCTTGCCGGGAAATCCATAAAGCTCAAAAGTGAAAGGTAAAAACGAAACGCATCCGCCGCGGAAGGGTAGAGTGAAGCGAAGGACGCGGCGGCAGCACGTGGGGGATGGGAATTCGGCGATACGGAAAGAGAAAGGGGAAGAAACGTATCGATCTCGCGTTACGTTTCCTCGCGTCTACGTCCGGACTGCGGGGGTGGCCAACGTACCTGAAGAATTCTCGCGCGCGTACGAGATCTTACGCTAATATCGCGAGCGCACGTCCTCGACTGTCGTCGCAGCTCGTAGCGTCGAGCGAATTTAATTTCGTTTACTCTTAGAGAACGTTAAGATGCTATCGCGATGCTGGATGGGTATTCAAAGCATTGTACTGCCGGCTTATCGCCACCGTGGATCTTGCTCTAAACACGATGTCTTCGTTGCGCCCGAGGCGTCGCCCCGCCGCCGCCGCCGCCGTCGACGACGACGACGCCGCCGCCACCGCCTTCTAGTCGCCGTTGCGAGATAGGAATACCATCGACCCGTGTACCTTGCACCTACACGCTATTGCGAGAACGGTACGAGAAGCCGCCCCTTTAACGACGCCGACGACAACGGGAACGAGTCGGTAACCGCCCTCTCGGATCGCGAACGTTTTACTTTGTATCTATATTGAAATCGTGCGTCAGCGTTATTTAATAAAACGCGCCGCCGGCGCGGTATCTCCGCCGCGTTTACTCGCCCGATAGAAAGCGCGTGCACGCGCGCACAGAGCACATTTGAATATATTTGTGCAAATTTCCAAGCGTCTCTCTCACGTTCGAGACACGTTCGAGGGCACGTCTCGTGTAATCGCGTATCCGGGACGCGGAGCGGCGCGAAAGAAGCGTGGCGAAAGATTAAAGAGAGAAATTAGACAGTCGAACGAGAGGGGAGGGTTCGGGGAGAAAGAGTTGAAGTCGGGACGATTGAAATATTCCGGCCTGCCGGGATTCCGCGCCCGCCGGCACCTCCGCCGGAGAAATCGGACGACCCGCTTTTAGAATTTGACGCTAACAAAATGACTCTACTTACGCGGGAGAGCTCTATGAGGAGGGTGGAGGGTAAGAAGGAAGGACGGAATCGGCCGAAGGAAGGATGGGCGGGCTATAGATCTCCGCTTTTTTTTTATGGGATTCGTTCATAGGCAACACTAATCATTTACGACACCCTGCCGCCCCGCTGCCGCCGCGCCACTTTATTTCTCTTTCTTTCTCCCGCCCTTGCACCCCCTCGGGCGCGCGCGCGCGCGAAGTCGTTTCCTTCCGCGCGTCTTCGGAGTATTGGCTGTTAGAGGCTAATGGATTGCGTTACTGACTGATTCAAATGCGAACTGGATTTCATTCCGGGCTCGATGGGGCGGCAGTATCGATGGTGTTGTAACGCGAACGCGTGCAAGAAGGGCTAGTTTCTTGCACGAGGGGGTGGAGCAGGCGGGCGGGGAAATCAAATTCGATTCCGATCGTCTATTAGATTTTTCTCTTCCGTCGGCGACGGCCCTCGCGATGTGCTCGCGTCGGTCTCTCCACGGGAAAATCTATTCCGGATCGCCGTTCGGGACACCCGGTACGTACACTTTACACCGAGTCGGAGCGTCGACTCGAGTTATGTGCCTTACGTTTCAATTGCAAGATACTTTTCTCATACGCCGGGCATGCGATAATATAAATTCGCGCGCATCTGCGACGAGTTGTTTCTCGTCAAGAGTATTTTGTTTGATCGCGTTTAAGAGAGATTTGTTTCATCAGCGTGACAATAACGTGTAGAACATAAACGTAAAATTAATTTCTTCAATTTAAAGCGATTACGAAATTCCTTCAGGGTAAATTTTTTTTAATAAGTATATTTAGATTTGTTTTCTTTTTATTTGTATTTGCTATGAGTGAAATACAAAATACAATAGCTTAAACAAACCGAAAGGAATTTCATATTTTGCCACGAAACTTTTCCGGGCGTACCATTTGAGGTACTCGCCGTGGCCATCTTGATTGATGACATCAGAGGCGAGGAAATGCACGCCTAAAATTCCGACAAAATGTGTCGAGATAAAAAGATATATTCAATAAATGACATTTCTGATCGATTAAGTATATCTCTAAAATATTCGGAACACTTTCCACATTTACTGTAACAATCTCAATAAATAATCTAAACTTAACGCGACAAAATCATAAGAAAATATAAGTTAAAAAGCAAGATTATATGTAACGTTAATTTTACGATTACGAGTAAAAGGAAAGCCAAGAGCCTTAAGAGGTTATTAAGCTGTGTCAAAATTTTTCAGCAACATCAAATTTGTAGATAATTTTGCGCGGAATCAAATATATAGTGTAATCGAGTATTATCGAGTTGAACGTTGTTTAAACAAAGAGAAGTAACCTTTGTGCAGGGAGAATTTTATTTCGCGGTGCCAACGTCGTTACATTTTTCGCGTCAAATCGTTTTTAAAGCAGCCCGTCCGAAGTCTTCCGGGTTGCCCGTCCTCGTTAACTAATAGACACGGACGAAAAATATACAGAGACGATTGCAAAATCATACCTAGCCAACCCTATACTCCTACCCTTTGGAGCTTGCATACCTTTCCGTTCTCTCATATCAAATGGAATAAAACGAAGTAGGCGGCGGAGTGCGGACGGAGGTTGCAACGGGATGGCAGCAGGGGACGAGAGTGGGTATGTCTGTGTGTGTGTGTGTGTGTGTGTGTGTGTGTGTGTGTGTGTGTGTG